CCATCTAGACATGGGCCTGCCATGAAGTAGGATAGGCTAAGGCCATTTGGCTACTTGGAGCCTCAATTGCAGGCTACACAAAATTATCCACTTAAAAATTAGCCCGCTATATTTAGTCAAGCATCTAATGAACTCAGCGCTCAGAGGCTGGCAGGAGCCCTGCTGGAGTAGTGGTTCCGCGTTGGGCTGCTTACCGCAAGGTCAGCGGTTGGAAACCCCCAGCAGCTCTGAGGGAGAGTGAGGAGGCTTTCTACTCCTGTGCAGAGTGACAGTCTCAGAGACCCACGGGGGCAGATCTGCCCTGTCCTGTAGGGTCCCCATGAGTCAGCCTTGACTCAATGGAGTGAGTTTAATGGGATGGCTGGGACAAGTGTCTGATATTAGCTAATCTGGATGATTTCACGGGCCTTATACAGCCTGAGGGCTGGACATTCCCCAGTCCAGTGGTAGCAACCCTGTAGATGGTATAGAACGGCCTCAGAGGGCACCTAAGGCTGTCAGTCTTCACAGAAGCAGACAGCCACCTCTTTCTCCCTGGGAGCATCTAGTGGGTTCACTCGGCCCATCTTTGTGTTAGCAGCCACACCCTTCACCACTGTACCACCAGGATTCCCCAAGAAGGACCAGGTTGTGCACATATCAAGGAGGCGACGAGAGAGACAGCGTTAACACCGTCTGTGTCAGAGAACCAGAGCTCCCCGGCTTTTCCCAAAGCACCCTTGCTGGTGGGCGAGGGAAGGGCAAGATGGTCTTTCAAGAGTCACCCCAAGTTCAAAGTGGTTCTTAACAAATCTGGGGACCCAGAGAAGTCTTCATTGTCTAAGCCCCCTGGCATGCGTACATCCCCGAGGACTGCGGAGGAACAGAGAATCCCAAAGCCACTGTGATGGAAGGCAGGATCCCTGCAGCACATGCATCAGTCCAGCTCTCCACTGGGGTCTTGGGGGCGGAGTGGGGTCTGGCATATTCTGGGAGGAGGGGCTGAATCACAGAGACAACTGTCTGGATTGATAGAGTGATGGTTTATGGAGGATCTATCTATCATCTATCTATCTAGCTAGCTAGCTAGCTAGCTAGCTATCATCTACATATCTATCTATCATCTATTTATTTACTTTATTTTCCATTCTCAGGATGTCTGGGGAATATCCCAATGCTGTCAGCATCTGTAAGTACCTGTAAGACGTGGTCCTGCTGTGGTCACCGTCTCATAGAGGTCCAGTCCCACGCACCCCGAGGCACCAACAGAGAAGTCAGGATGACACAGAAGGCCCAGGGGAGGCTCCGGGGGCATGCCAAGGGCACTGACTTCATCACAGAGGGGAAGCGGTGGGGTGGAGAACAGTCACACTGCAGCACACATAGGCACCCGCTGCGGAAAGTTCTAATGATACCAAAAAGGTCAGGGTGCAGTTGCCGGCTGTCTTGTGTCCCTGTGGAGGCTGGGACCCAGGAAGAGGCCGAGTGGCATAGGAGGCGGTGGGGGCAGCCTGGAAAGCCAGGAGATGAAGGAAGAGACGAAAGGTTCTCCTCCAGATTTGAAAGCTAGAAGTGCTCCGGTGGGGTGCTGTATTCTTGAAGGGCGGGGAGGCTCCCAGCAGCGGCCCCAGGGGTGTGTCTTTCTCCCAGGGCCCTGCCCAAGGGGAAGACCACTGTCTGCTAAGAGCTTGTTGTCCGGCATCCGTCCGTAGATGACACAGGCAGATAGCGCAAGGCCACATCAGATCCATACTGATAGAAATCTCCCAGTAAAGGAAGCTGATAATGGAACACAGAGACCTGTCTCCACAGGAAGTCCCCCCAGCTCAGAGAACTGGGGCAAGGCGGCGCCGCCAGGGGTAGGGCTCTGCAGCTGGGGCCGAAGCAGGGCTGACTGGGTCTGGGGGGTCTTCTCCCACCCGCTCCAGCCGTCATCAGCAGCACCAACGCTGGGGCTGGCGGAGCAGGCTTCAGCCTGGGCTTTGGCGCCTCCAGCAGTTACAGCTACAAATCCTCCGCCACCGACGTCAAGATCAAAGGCAGCTGCGGCAGCGAGTTCAAGGACCCCCTTGCCAAAACCTCGGGCAGCAGCTGTGGGGTGAAAAAGGCCACCAGATGAAGGGGAGCCAGGGCTCCGGCACCCAGGCCCCCCTCTCCGCCCCATCCCGCAAGTCCATCTGTCCCTGCTGCCACAACTCCAGCACCCCCCTCCTCGCTGTCCTATTGGGGTGATGCTCCCAGCGGGCAGTCCAGTCCCCGGCTCTCCTGGCGACTCCTCCTTCTGAATCCATCCCCCTCCCCCCTGGTCCCTGCTCCAAAATGTAGCAGCTCCTCTGCGCCCCCTGCCTGTCTCGGGCCGTCACTGCAAGGGACTGCCCTCACCCTGTGATTTGGATCATGTCCCCATCTCTGCTTCTCCCTCAATAAATCATCAGTGCCATCTGGTTCTCAGGCTGGAACATTCTGTTGCCCGGGATGCTGACATCTTACGTCACCCTCCCTAATTTTTCCCATGACTTCCTCTTGCCCTCCTCCGTACTGGTCGGTCGTAGGTCTTAGCTGTCTGGTTCTGGGAGGTGGCCGTCGAATGGGGGCTGATCTCAGGAGACAGCTGAGATTTTTACTGCCGCCACCACCAGGCAGGCACTCGGTGCTTCCCCCTCGTGGGGACCCCCCACCCCACCCCCCGCTCCTCACGTTGGTCCTGCGGGTCGAGTGTCACTAGTGCAGACACAGCAGTCCCACAGCCAGGAACAGGAGACAGCAGGACCACGGACACAGCTCATTCTCAGGAGTACCTGAGGGTCAGCATGCCCACCACCTCTTGTTGCTAGA